AGTTTTTCCTCTCCACTGTCGCTACAAGCATGCTTAGTGTGAGGGATTGCTGAAGAGTCAATGAGTCGATGCAATCAGCTGGTTTTCCTGGTGTGTTTGAATTGGCACTATACAAATAAATTAAAATTTAGATAAACTTAATTTTAATGGCGAACGCTGAAGAAACCATGTGACATCACCATAACCTCAAAGGGCAGAATAAATGATAATATATTCATTAAATAATATCTAATATCTTCAGCTCTGATGAAGAAAACAGCAAAGGAGAAAAGAGCGAGCAGCGCCGCAGGATCAGAGGGAGAAATAATCACCATGGAAACATTGAGGGAAAACTTAGAGCCAACAAAGGAAGGAACATCTGGACTCCATAAACCAGAACACCAACAGATCGCAGACCAGGAGGGTTCCAGGACACCTGGCAGTCCTCCCACCACAGCCTGGACCCGGCTGTCTTGTCCAGGTCCAGGTCCGGTTCTGCTCAGCTCTGGGTCACTGCAGTGCGGGTCTGAAGGTCAACTCAGAGTAGTTAACAGCATGAAGGCAGCCGCCAGGATCAGCACCTGCTAGTAAAGCCTGGTTCCTCCAGAGGAACATCTGCTGGCTACTGCAGACCTGAAGGTGGAAGCATCCAGACTCAGCTTCACCCTGAAATATCTTCCAGAGGGAGGAGGAAGCTCAGCGCTGATTGGTTGCTGCTCATGTGAGGTCATTCAGTGAGATGATGATGCTGCGTTCCTCGTGGGAATCATTGCGGCTCATCAGAGTCATTAGCATCCCGGCTCTGCAGCCTCGGCCACCGGTGCAGAGCTTAGTCTGCAGTGGCAGCAAAGCCACTGGCCGTCATCAGGGAGCTGGACTCCATCCTTCTGGCATTTAATTCCTCTAAAATAATCACAATACTTCTGAAATAGTTTCAAAACATCAACATATTTATTTTTATTCTCTATCACTTTTAAACAGATTTTAAATTTACAACAAAACCCCAAAAAAGGAGAGGTCTATATGATCTAGATCTATGAATAAGAAACAGTGAAGTAAAACGTCCATTAAACTGAAGCCTCCATCAGCAGGTGGGTTTAAAGGAGGAGCCGGTTC